CCCCAAAACCCCAAAACCCCTTTAAGAAGGATTTTAAAACTTTAGCAATTATATATTGATTAAATTATTTTAGTAAATTTTGAAATAATAAACTATTTAAATGTTGCGAAAGTTCAAAAGTATTAGATTTAGGGCTACATTATGCTATTTTACATTAGTAATTGCTATAATTGGGATAATATTAGTTCTTTCTCACATAATACCTGATTATTATCTACTGACTTTGAACAATCGTTCATTGAATGCAATTTAGTAAGATGAGCTAGATTTACGATTCTAATTTACAAAATTTATCTCAAAGTATCAAAAAAATGATTACAATACTGTAACTAAATTCTAGCAAGGACTACTAAAATTCAAGTAAAATAGTGACTACATTAATAAGGTAAACAATGATTAAAAAGACATGAAATTAGGTTTTAACTAATTCAGCGATCTCAGTCTTGAAGAATTCACTAAATAGTTTACTGGAAGATTATTACTTTCCGATAATCAACTAAATTCTCTAGTGACCCCTGACAAGACAACTGCCAATAACATAGCAAATTTAGTCAAGAAATTGCCAACACCATAGCCTTTAAGGATTGGAGTGTCAATTACACTTACGCCAGCACCAAAAGCGTCAACCAATAACCCAACAGATATTGGTATATTTGACTGGAGAAAATTCGGGAAGATATCATCAGTTAAGGATCAGAATGGTTGCGGGAGCTGCTATGCTTTCTCCTCTGTAGCAGCACTAGAAAGTTTATTGCTAATGCTAAATCCTTCCAAGTATTCTACTGTAAACTTATCAGAATAGTAAATTGTTGATTGCTCTTCTAATTATGGTAACTATGGTTGTAAAGGTGGACTTGAACTATATGTGTATTAGTATACTGAAGATTTTCCAGTTGCATCTGAAAATCAATATCCTTACAAATCTAAAGATTAAGCTTGCTAAACAAATTCCATCTCTAATATTGGAAGTTTGCGAACTAGTTCATTCGTTTTCAAAACACGATAGACAGCTGCCCAGTTAAGAGAAGCTGTTAAGATTTAACCTGTATCGATAGGAGTATGCGCTGGTACAGATTTATAGTTTTATGAATCAGGAATTATTTCTTCTGCTTGCTGCAGATAAAATAATCATGCTGTGCTTTTGATAGGATGGGGTAGATAGTAAGGAACTTATTATTGGATTATGAAAAATTCATATGGTAAATACTGGGGAGAGGAAGGATATTTTAAAGTAAAAATGACAGAAAATACTACATAATAGACCTGTAATATAGGCGCTGATTTTACTTATCCGATAATTAACTGATTATTTTGTAAAGATTAAAAGAAGTTACTGGATGTAGTGTACCTCGAGCTTCATGAACATTAACGACTAAAAGGACTGGCTGAGGGAATTATCAGGTAGTTACATTGGATACAAATGAAGACATCTAAATTACATTCTGCTTGAAAATGAGTTGCAAGACAGGGAAAAATATTACAGTTGATAAATGGAGCTCACTAAGAACTCACATTCACTATTATAACACAAATCAGTCGAGAAACTATGTAACGAGAAGAATTTATTTTAAGCTATCCAACTCAATGGTAATAGTAAAGTTGAGTCCTATACAAGCTAATTTTTTAGATTGATTATTATTTAAATTTTCTCCATATTTGATAACTTTCAATATATTGATATGCAGGGGGTTTTGGGGTTTTGGGG